GAGGAGGCGGGTCGGCAGGGTCAGGGCCAAGAGCCGCGCTGAGGGGGCTCTCCTCGTCCCGACATAAGCCTTGTGCGTGTTGCTGACTTGTTAACATGCAAACACAGCAGGGGGGAAAGTCGCCCTGGGTACAAAGACAAAAAATAACCTGCCTAACCTGAGGAAAAAAGACGTAACTTGTGTCTCTCAAAAGACAGAACTGCTGAAAGGCAAAAAGCAGTTTTTGAGGACAGAGGGCAGAACTGGAAACATAACCTTAGTGTTTGGAAAAACGAGGTTTTGCTTTCTCAAACATGACAGGCTCTTGATTTGAGAATTTCGATAAAAATACGGAATTACGGGGGTGTTTTTTTAATATTTCTGTGAATATTTACAAATTGTAGAAGAGCTCTGGCTACCACTAGCAAACATGTTACAGCCTGCACTGCACTGCAGTCTGATAACTGCTGGTGGTGTGATCCTGCTCAGTACTTAATGCTGGTTTTGCAGGTGATAACCAGGCCTGTAGTCACCATCCCTGGAGGTATTTAAGAGACCAGTACATGGTGTAGCGGTGGACCTGGCATTGCTAGGTTAACAGTTGGACTCCATCTTCAAGCTCTTTTCCAACCTAAACAATTCTATGATTCTCTAACTGCCTATTTCTGGAGGTCCGAAATTTTACTTTAATGAACCTACCCTATGAAGTTGGCCAGTGAAATTCAATCTCCAGGAGAAAATCTTGTTTCCTTGTCCCTTCCAGAATAGGCCATGGTTGCATTTACTCTGGCCGTGAAGAGGCACAACATTTCACCACTGTTGAAACTAAACTGACAAAACCAAACTAAGGAAGTATACAGTGCTAAGTTCTCTGAGCATCTTCATCAGCTGAGACAGCTGTGGTGAGACCTTGGCACAGGTTGCCCAGGGAGGTGGTGGAGGCTCCATCCCTGGAGACATTCAAGGTCAGGTTGGACGGGGCTCTGAGCAACCTGATGTAGTTAAAGATGTCCCTGCTCACTGCAGGGGGGTTGGATTAGATGACCTTTACAAGTTCCTTCCAACTCAATGCATTCTATGGTTCTACATGCAAGGCACTGGCCTCTTCGGGTTTAAAAAGTAGCATACTTTTCCTTTAGCACACAACACAAAATGCCATATAAAGGGAACAGAATGAAAAAACCCCCACATCCACAAACCCTTACATCTGCAGAATGAGACAAACATGCCCAGGTCTTATGATCCTGACTCACTCTGTGCCTACCAAGCCCCTTGCATTTCTTCACCGTGCCACGTTCTCTCTTACAACTCAGTCCCTCCTTCAGAGCTCCCAGCAGGAACATCTTGTCACCCTAATGAAAAGCTTGTTGACATCATCTTCTTCATTGTCACTTTCAGTTTCCTACATGGCACACACATGCTTCAATTAGGTCAGTAATATCACAGCTACCTCACACAAATAAACAAATCAACACACAGAGAACTAATCAGGTACAAGAACTCAAAAAAAAAAATCCCTGTATATTTGTATATATATTTATTTTTTTCTGAAGCAGAGCATTGTCTCAATTAGGAACAGCTTATTTGGGATATTTGAAGTCAGCAGTCAGATTTTCCAAAGAAAATCCAGCTTCTACACACCATTCTAGTAACTAAAACTGTCTGCAGATCTCAGATCTCTGTTTTTATCCCTCCTGCTCACCAAGTCCTCAGTTTAATTTAAAATTACAACACCCATTGTGAGAGAATGGGTCTAAATTTGAATTAAGTCTTCCCTGTCTACATAATTAAAGGTAACAATCCTGCAGGATTTCTGCTTTCACAAATTCTAGCAAGCTTAGCTCGCTGAGAACGCTTTCCTGACGAGTCACAGAGCGCGCGCACATCGTAGGAGCAAAACTGGGAATCAGGAGAGGCACAAGATCTCCTTAGGAGAGCCAGCCCATCTGACCAAACATGCCGTCAGGGAAAAGAGGACACGCTGATGCAGCTCCCTCACCTACAGACCCTTTGCTCCTCACCCCACATCTCACCTACTGCTTTTAGCTGCCTTTTCCACCATCGTAACTGTGGCAGGAGCAGTGTCTGTGCCACAGCCTGCGTGATGCTGCGGGACCTGGGCTTTTACGCAAGTTCTTCGTGAGACTATGAACAAGGAAGCCACAGCACGTGCCTGCTGCATGCTCGGCAGCAGATGCTGCCTTCCAAGGATACAAAAACTCTGCCAAACAAGAGGGAAAACCATAATGGCTTGTGAAGGCAGCAACAAGCCCCCTGCAGTATTCAGGACAACTTCAAATACAGGGATGGAAGTGCCCAAGACCACTGTAGTCACAGGCACTGCTACACTTATTTTAGTCTTTAAATTATTAAACTATGAATGCAAACTGTTTAACCTTCCACTTTTGTTCAGAACTTTAAGATTTGCCTTATTTATATTAGTTTTCCAAATGACGAACGTCCACTCTGTTGTCAAGCCCAACGAGGAAGAAAAAAAAAAAGAGCTATTTGGAATAACTGCATTATAAATATCAGACAATAAGGAGTTAAAGAAAAGTGAGGGAGCTTTGTGAAGACTTTTAAGGTTTTCTCATATGTAAGAACAGGTGGTAAGAAAGTGGAAGGACACAATGTAAACCTTTCTACTCTTTGCCTAGCTTTTATTAAATAGTTCATACAAACTTCTTTTGTGCTTCCAGTAGAGAACATTTTCCCCCTATTTGTCTCAGAAAAACCTAAACAAAAGGACTCAAAAAAAAAAAATCAAAAAAATCCCATTAAATAGAGATTGGTGTAGCTATATTTCACAAAATTTCCCCTCCCCAAAAGGACATGGAGGTAATATGTTTTTTCCCCATCTAAATCAGTTAAGCATAACAAATTAGAAGTGTTTGCTAATTAAACATTCTGTCTGTGGCCTAAAGTGTATGGCAGAAGAGCTCTGTCCCATCTCACAGAGGCAGACTGAGGTGTTCTAGCCACAGCTTTTTTTTTTTCCCCCCCCTCTGCCCACCTGCTCAGGGTTTGCTACCCCAACAGCAGCACAGCTATCAGAAGATACTACACACTTGCACCTCGGCTACTCTACTGTAAAGTGCCCATGTTTCAGCATAAATTGCTGATAAAGGTGAACCAGAGCCTAGCTATCAGACCTTACAGTGGAACGAACAAAGTACAAGTACATGTTTCACTTCTGCTGATGTAGCTATGAGTGAAGAACCAGAAAGGCTGACTCCCTACGCCGTTCCAGCAGCAGCCACACCAGCTCTCTAGAAGTCCAGCTGTGCTGTGGCTTGCCTGGAAATTATCAGCTGCAAAAGTTATGAACCCAGATTAAGAGCTTTTGTCACACAGTCCACAATGGGTTTTCCGGGTGTAAGTTATTGCAAGCGAAGCCTCTACAGCCAAGCACAGAATAAAACAAAACAAAACAAAACAAAACAAAACAAGAAACCTGTCCAAAAGCTCTTTTTCCCTTGAAAAGGAGAAACAGAAAGCAATTATATAGGACAGACATCTGCAACTTTGAAACACAGTGATCTCAGAGTACCTCTTAGCCCCAGGGGACCAACTGGGACAGGAAAACCCATCAACAAATCACGTACAGGGGAGGCAATTCTTGACAGGTACTGGGACCAGAACTATCCCAGCCCTGTGGCCTCCCACTAAAGCCTCTTTCAAGTAAGGTGAGCAGTGCTTGGCACCCTCAAGAGAGCAATGCCATCTTCTCCTAGGAGAGTGCTGACCTCAGGGTGGGAGATGTTACACATGCAGGTACAAGTGTTCTGCTGAAACACCTAGTTAATACCTGCTTAACGTGAGCAGTCAAGCACTTGTGGAGCACTGCAGGAGTGGAGTTGGCAAGGTTTGCGTTTGGTGGATTTTCTGTTTGTGGGTTGGGGTATTTTTGTGTGTGGCGTGTGGGGGGGGGGTGTGTGTGTTGTGGGTTTTTTTGGTTTGAGTTTCCTCATTTTTTTTAAATTAAATCATGCAACACATGGAAGGCAGGGGCAAGTCATTTTTCCAGGCATCCACCACATTGCCGGCAATGAGATGTGCCACAACAGCGCATGTTAGCTCTATGCAGCTGTTACCTATAAGTCAATGGCATTTAAAATAGAAAAATCTTTCTTACACAGTGTTATGAATAAAATTGCACTTGATTTTGTTAAAAACTCATATCACTGTAACTTTTCCAAATATTTCCTTTCTGGCATCTTAATTTTCTTCATTAACAGGAGCTTCTCTCTAAAAACCTCTCATTGATGTTGGACACAGGACATTATCTACCAGAAAATGGGTCTGTTGTTTCTTCAGTGCTTATTTCTATCTGTCCCCACCCTCCCCCCAAAAAGGTACAGTTTACCTCTAAGAGTCAATTATAACATTGAAATATAAACTCCTCAAGCAGACATTAGGAAGTTTAGTTTCACAGATTAAATATTTGAAAAGTTACAGAAGGTGCTGGAATAGTACACATTTAAATTGCTTAAAAAATCCAAACTTGCAGCAACTTGATAAATTCAAATTTCCAAAAGGTTTACAATGTCCTCATGAACTTCTTCTGCAGCAAGACACCCTCATGACAATAAAGCATCAAACTTCCAAGGCTGAGATCAAGAAACAAATCAGCAGGATGTACTTGCTGCACCAAGCAACTTTAAAAGAGGCGTCTCCACTTCCAATAGCAAAAAGCTACTCCTTCATTCCATTTTGGACCTTTCAAAGTGTGTAATCATTCTTTCCTGGAAAACAAAATACCCAACATTGTCATTTCCCCCAAACAGGTTTACATTACTCAGAAATAAGGGGATATGCTTTGCACATTCACAAGAAACACACACTCGTATGCATTTTAAGTCAGGAGTCCAACTTTCACCGTGTATATAACACTTCTGTTGGAATACACATTTGTATTCTAATAAGCTGTATCATAGTTGTCCCTACTCTCCTTTAGATACACCACCCCGCAGCTGTATTATTTTACTGTCGCACTGGCAAGATCAGAGAGTCCAGTTCTAATAAGCCGAGTCCCGAACAGCTGACTCATGACTCCTTTGGCATGTCAGAAGGCTAATTTGAACTGCAGATTTGGTTACTGACCTCATCTGAATCCAGAAGAGCTGGAAGAGCACTGCAAGGGGGGACAAAAAACCAAAAGTTACAGGAGAGCGATAATGAAGATAGACCTTTCAATTAAACATACAGAAATTAGAGACACACAAAAGAGGAAGAGCCCAAGAAATATCCTCACTGACCTTCATAGTTTTAAAATACTTTTTTTCTTAGCTTCTCATTACCACCTGAACAATTTCCAAGCTGCCATGAAATAAGCCACATCGTTCATACTGGAACACTGCTGAACTACACTGAAAACATTTCCAATATGGGAATACATCATAAAAACACACCCCAGAGATCAAACCAGTTACACTGGTACCGTAGCCTTTCCAGCTACAATAGACCTCCCACCTTATGGGATCTCTCCACAACCTTGATCATACTTTCAACAACGGAAAACCCTGCAGCAGAGTACCTCATAATGCCCTTCCCTAGCTGACACCAGCCTAGTCCTCGTTTTCCCAAGAAATCCTACTTACTCTTCAAAAAAAATAAAGTACTAGAACTGAGAAAAACAAATTCAATTGAGACGATGCAGTTTTTCATCCTCTTGAAGCTTCACTTTATTTCTTGTCTTTACCCAACTTCAAGCAGAATTTTGTACTTGAATCCAGAGCTTCTGCCAAAACTTGTGATTTGTGAACCTAATTAATGCAAGAGCTTGATTTGTTATGAAAAATTTAGACACAGACACTGTAGACAATGTAGAAGTTATTAAAAGCAGAATAGATATGGACTGCCTACACAGCTAACTAAATATTGCCAGAAAATGACTCAACAGACATTCCAAATAAAGCTGAGAACTAAATGACATTATTCAGTCGTTTACGTTTGGCACGATATTCAGAGGACATCTTGGAGCATTAAGAAAAGGTTTGCTTGTTCTTTGTTTTCTAGATTTGTTTTAACTTCAGTCAAGTGTAAACAAATCAATCTGTGGTATTACAGTCTGAGACATTGTTTCTCAACTCTGACAAGTCTGCATAAAGCCAAGGGGAAGCACGCTAAGTCAGCGGCCAATTCCAGGCTGAACTCAGTATCTGCTCATGTAAGTACAGCATACAAGTTATAAAGCATTCTCATGTTTTTGTGTTCCTGTGTCCAAGGAAGCTGCTTTTACAGTGACTATAAAAATACTCACACATCTGTAACCGACGAAGGAACGTTCTCCTCTACCCACTTCAGGTCATCCTCCTGCTACAAGTAAATTAAATGCAGAACAAAGGTCAGTTTTCCCAAAATGCCATCACATGGAAGCCTTTTTCTTCTCAGCCCACTTGCCAAAAAACATCAATGGATTTAAAACGTCAGTTCAAAAACAACCCATCCTCTACTTAGTTTCTGTATTACAGAAAACACATTCCAAGAAAAAAGAAAAAAAAAAAAAAAACCAAAACAGAACAAAAATCTCACCTATAACTTACTGTCAACTCCACAATAGCCTAAGAGTGACTAAGAAAAAGATGCCATCAGAACATTTTGGTAACTTACATAATTTAGTGTAGTCTCCCACAAAAGAACATTATTTTTAGATGTTATAGATGAAAAATTATCATAAAAAGCACAAGCTGTATTTTGGAAAGGTAAGCTGAACTGTCTTGTCAGGATTTCTCATTTCTGTCTGATGAATGCTCACTTTATCCACAAGACAAGCACACTTGTTTTGAATTTGGAGAACTGACCCTTTCTGATCCCCAGTCCCAACAATCAGACAAGTTTGATTTTCATGTTATCCTCAGGTAAGTAGTATACAGCTGCAACAAACCTTTGAGGTAAAAAAAATACTAACAACAAAAATATTTCTGACATTATGGTGAATTCCTACAGGTTCTTTCCACTTGTAAATTACGCACAGATTCCATGAACAGATTTTGAGAAATATTTTCTACAGCCTAGCTGAATGTGAAACTACCTCTACTTATAAGCCACATGGAAAAAAATGCAGATATATTAAAAATGTTCCACCCAAACTATTTAGGTAGGTACATAATAATATACACATCACCTCACCTGAGCGAATCACAAATGTCAAAATCAGAAGGCAATAATTGTATTTAAAATATGGATCAGCCTCCCCCTCAGTCTGGTGAATTTGTTAATGTATTATTCATTATCAGAATGTAGTATTATATAGTTTCATCTATACTGCCTCATGCAAAGACTCCAAAAGAACAAACTTAATACTAAAGCTTCCACTGCACCACAGGAAACTACATCAAAAAAAAAAAATCTGCATTTACTTTCTTTTCAGAAGTACTGCAAGCACATGATTCTTTGATTCACTGACCCAGGGAATTCACATTTGCAGGCTGAGCACTTTGCATATTTGTGAGCTACTACTTGGGAGGAGCAAGAGAACAAGGAAGATTGGTCTATATCCTTCAAGGTAGGGAGGGCATACTCACAGCTTTGTTTGCTTTTACATTCCCATTTGGCTCTTGCTTTGTACTTCTCATTTTCATTCCCTCTGAAGATGAAAGAAGGAAATAAGATTGAAATAACTGAATTATAATTGTTCATAGACTGTAAGTGGAAGTGTTGAGCGTTCACTCAGAATCCTTGTTCAAATCCACAGAGACAGAGTAAGACAGATAAGGTGATAATTAAGACAATGCTTTCCCTTTGAAAGGTTTATAGTGTTTTTCCTGACAGGTGAAATATCTATTTTTTCCCTGAATTTTGCAAATTTACCTAGGAAATACCAATTTCTAATGCTTTTATTTAAGCCAGACATCAGCAGAATAGAAGTCAAATGCCCAAACAGGCTGTGGAATCTTTACCCTTGGAGATACTCAAAAGCCATCTGGACACAGTCCTGGGCAACGTGGTTTTGGTGACCCTGCTTCAGCTGGGAGTTTGGACGTGATGACCTCCAACCTCACCCACTCTCAGACACACACACAACTCCCAAAATTTATTTTACCTACTGACTGCTGACCAGCCACTTGGTTGACTTAAAAGCTGAGAGGCAGCATTCATCTCCCAGCCTGGCAGCCAGCCAGAGATTTTGGCAAACACACCTCAGGGATTACACACTCCTCCTCAGATCCTAAACAAGTCAAACAAGCACTGATATATCGCAGCAGAATTCATCTGTGGACAGACAGCAGCAAGTGGGTTTGTCACATGACAGACACAGCAGGGAGAAGGAAGGCAGGGAAGAGGGTTTTATAGTAGGAGAAGGGCAAGGAAAAAGAAAGATGCAATCTAGTGTAACAGAGCAGCGCTCTTTCATTGATACGTAATTTCATGAATATGAAAACGTATTCACCCGTATGTTTACACTGGACACTGCCACGCTAGACTCCAATACAGAAAATTAATTAGACTGCAGAGTTAAGAGAAAGGATAATAAATGAAAACACTTAAACTGGATTTTAAGAGAGAACTGTAAACTAAACCACTCCCTGGCAACAATATCCGAGAGATCCTTGTCATCGGGAGTGGATACAAAACTATACCTTGACATATACCTTGACATATTTAACAAAACAAAGTCCAGTGGACATGGTAGAGCAACCACAACAGCAGCAGTGGGTTCAGGGAACGTAGACACTAAAGACAAAGCCAATGCTTCCTCTACAACTGTTTCTTCAACAATCTATGGCAGCAGAGAAGCACTGACTCTGCTTTTACAGCAGTAATGAACTTCTTGCCAACACACAAGAGAGCCTCCCTCCACAGAAGGGTCTCTTCAACACTGAAATTAGGGGGGAAACAAAAAAAATCTCTTACCAAAGCTTTCCTTTAACATTGGCTCTTTCTGCTCATCATCATCTTCCTCTTCAGATAGTGGTGAGAATGCAAACCTTTAGGTGAGAAAGATTGAAAGCTATCTTAGAACAGTATCTCTTGTCACCTCAGTGATTCATTACCCCAACATTCACATACTTGAGTATTCTTTGTAGTTTGCTCTTTTTAAGACCTGCGCTAAACTACATCATCAACAGCTTAAGTAATTTTTTTTAAATAAGTTCACCACCAAGAGCTGCCTGAATTTTATCTGTATGACTTCCTACAGACTGTTTCTCAAGCTCCTACACATGCTGCTTCGAATTCTTATGGATCAGTGTACAGCTACTAAAATCATCCACCAGTATTTCTTTAGATAAACAAGCACTCCCAAACTCTAGTATTCTTGGAAAGAGCAAAGAAAAGCTGAACCTTTGGTTGTTAGCAGATGGTCTCCACAGAATCATGATGACAAAAAGGATCATTGAAAACAATAAACGCCAGATGGCATCATCCACCCATAGCTCCTGCCAGTCCTGTGAAGGAAAACAGCAGCACAAGTAGAAAAAGTTGTGAAGAAAGAGACTCCATGTTCTCAGCTCCTTCCAAGGGTGAACTACAGGCATCTGACTAAGAGCTTGTTACCCACAACAGTGAGAAGTTTAGCGCGTGGTATATTACTCTAGACATAATCCACAGAAAAATCTGTTCCAGAATGCCTAATTTCACCTCTTGTACTGCCAAATACAAACTTATCGAAAGGCAGCAATCGCGGAAAGCATTCCATGTAAACTCACCGACTGACAGTCCACCAGCCTGAACTTCATGGTGGTCCAGATGATAAATACAATAGATGCTGCAATATTAAAACAAAGAGGCTGCTTATTAATAAAACACATATTAATCCAAATACACTACTAATGACTGTGTTGTCCAAACAAAGGGCAAAGACCTAAGTAGTGAATTCTTGGAATCCAATTCATTAGCTTTGGAAAAGAAGAGAATGATTCATTGCACTGACCTTTAACAGTAATGCAGGCACAGACCTGTGTATTTTGTTTTTGACTCTTCAGAGACACGAAGCATAGCTAGATCAGTTATGAAGTATTTAGCCAACTCCAATTTTCACTGTTCTGCTATTGCTTTCACCTAGCCTCCAAACCGTGGTTTCATTATCAGTGGACAGACAAAGCCTACCTTGAAGTAACTGAACCATCAGCTCTGCCTGAACGCCTAAGCATTCAGATCTTGACCCACAAGAGTTCCAACACTCAAACTATGCTATTACCAGTTTTAGAAGATGAGACTTCCCTCCACTATGGTGTTCTATGATGACAAAGAACCAGATGGTGAAAAAATTTCAAGCAGATCTGTCAGGTAAAAGGAATGTGATCTTTTCTTTCTTTGTGCAAATAAGAAAAAGCACAGTCCTTGGGCATTTTCTACTCATGTATGGATAGCCTTCCAAATAGGTGAGGAGCTAAGCACCTGGAAACACCAACAGATTTATTCCTGAAGTTCAGTTCATCAACTACTGAATCTAAATTCTTACAGAATAAAAAGGGCATTATATTAGAAACCTAGAGAACACCGTTTTCCCAAGAATCACTCTGGTCTTCTGCCATCTTAGAAATCTCGTAACACACTGTGACACTGTAATTTTAACAAAAAATTACCTCTACAAATTTACCAGCATCTTTTGCCCCTGGCAGCTTTAAAGGGGACGAAAATGCTCTGTTAAGAGGTGCTGCACAGAACTACTTGTTAACATCAGGACTCATAATCCTCTGCCTCTGAAGTATCAACATAACACACTATTAGAAATGGGTCAAGTGTTAGAAATAACAGGTTCTCCGATTCTACTTACAGAAAGGTCACCAGACTCAAAAATCTGCTTCAGTAATGCAGTCAAGCCATATACGAAAATGGCAAGAACTCTTACTCGATTAATGCAATTTTCTGCTTACCTGCCACTGCCAAGATGAGCGTGTTGGTGAAGTGCCGATACAAAGAGAGCTTCACAACATTCCTTCGAAGTTTTAGCAGTTTCATTGTTTGAGTTAAGCTGATGAATATGTACGGCAAGTCAAGGAAAGCCTCTGAAGAGACAGGCTTGTCACAGGACACAGATCTTCTGATCAACAGCTCTCCCACCCACACACTTAGCCCTCCAAAAACGTACACCAGACTCAATAGAAGAAAAGCTCATCCTATTACAAAGGTGCCAAAGAGCAGGAACCATCCCCCTTCTATGTTACTTAGTCATCTACATCCAGAAGTTTTGTCACACAAAGGTGGTGTCTAAGTATCTCTTTTGCACTATGGCCCATTTCTCCAGAAGTGTCAGATGTACTTCTGATAAATGTGGAAAAAAAAAAAAAAAAAATCAAGTCTGAACTAGAAGCAAGTTAAAATCCAATTAGTACACACAAGTGTCTTCACCCTTTTGCCTACAATTTTATTTCCATAGTGACAAAACAAGTGCTTAGGAGAGACTTCGTGATAGGAGGGAAATGGGGTTGACGTGGCTGGGCAGTAAGCTAGACAGGGTTTAAACAGAGTTTTGTGATTGACTTTCACTAAAAACACTTTATACAGATTTTCCTATACATGGCTTTGAGTTTAGCAGATGCTGAAGTCACACAGTATTACGGTTGCTTGGATGTAGTATGTCAAGACACCAAAAAGTTAACACCATTCCACTTTGTCACCTACTTTGAGTTCAAATTTCACAGAAAGAATTTTAGGTTTGATGTTGTTAAAAATGGCTCTCCCTAAAACATAAATTGAGTTTGCTCTCCAAAGGCTCTATAATATCATGACAGTGCTACACTAGAACGAATTAATTTCATATTTCAACTATCAGAAATCGGTAACAGACAGACTTAACTAGTCTATGCTCAGGAACTGCTGTAACACAAGTATCTACTGGTTGCCTAGTCTTCCCTTGCACTGGCTATAGCAGAAGCTTACCTGAACACTCAGTTACAGAGGTTCTATTAACTTTACCAGAAGTAGAAAGAAAATATACTCAAAACTGATTTTTTTAAAAAAAAAGTACAGCCAAAAAGACTCCCTCCCAAAAAAAAACAAATCTGAAAGAAAACACACCCAACCAAGTAACATAGTGAAGGATATCCACCAGCACAGGGCAGTATCTAGGAAAGCCAGGGGAATAAAAGCCAAGGAGGCAAGATCATTCTGGGCCTGGAGACAAAGAGAGAGCCAGTAAGAACAAACTGAAAAGAAAGCAAGGTACAGAGGAGATGAGAAGGGTCAGGCTACTTTATGAGAAACCACAGATACCCCACCACAACACTTCTGAGTTTTCCTACAGAAGCAGATATTTGAACCAAGAGTTTAGCCCAAGGCACAAAGAGGAACTCAAGATACCACATTGTCAGTTCTCGGCTCTCCACCAGCAAGGCAAGAAGTAACTTTCCAGAATAAGTCAAAAGGAGCCTCTGTTAAGGTGGTTGCTTTGACAATGTGCTCTGGCCACTTCCATTACAGAAAACCAGCAATCTAATAGCAATTAAAACTTTTACATCATTTACAAACTGAATGCTCCACTGGCAATGGTAAGTTTGACTGAAAGTGGCAAAAATTGCTCTTTGTGTGCATCAAAACTACCAAAGTCCCAGCTGAAACAAGGGAATCACCTTTTACTTCTTTTAAATATAAGACAAAAATAATAAGCTATGAATAAGCTTGTAACATTCTGCAGTTTATGAAAGGATATCCACAAAATAATACAGGCATCAATCATGGACAGGGCCAAGTTTGCTATCAGAGCCACAGTGTCATAGAAAAACTGAAAAAGTACCAAATATATGACATGTTAAATACTTTGCCCCAAAATATTAAAAACAGAACAACAGAAATCTACATCCCGAGATGCACTTCTTAATGAAACAAGGTGAAACACCACTCGCATGCACTTCCCCCAGGTACAGCCTCCAAAAATGGAGTGCTGGTTTGTCTTTTGAGGGGTTTTCTTGGTTTGAGGATTTTTTTTCTTGGTTTTGTTTCTCGTTTTAGACTCACAGCCAGATGACCCAAGCTGTACATTTGTGCCTGCCACTAGCCCTACCTAATCCTAAGTATAAGACACATGGTTCAAAGCAGAATACAGTGTCTGAAACTTGACTACTCAGAAAGCTATTAGAATTATTTTAAAATACACAGAATTACATCCTGATAAATAGAGAAGACATCAAACTTAAAATAATTGCCAGTAATCCATATACACAGTCTCAGAGTTTAACCACTTTGCTATCTGTTTTCTTCTTTCAGTATAGTTCTGGGATTCTCCCTTAGTATATAATAAAACCAGAGCATCTGTGGCATATGGGAAAATTGAAGCAGTTATTACTGACCCCTGTGACTCTAAGAACACCTTCCATGCCAGAAAATAATAGATAAAGGGCTCCAGCCATAACTACTTTGTGTAGAGTAACTCCAAGGCGAGGCCTGTAGGAAAACAAAGGGAAATTTAGATTAACTGGAGGGAGAAAAAAAAAGTAAAGTCATGTCAGCTTGACTCTAACACAAGGCATGAAGCATGTGAATAAAACATCCTTGCAGGAAGCCTCTTCTAGATTCATTCATTTTGTCTAATGGTGCGATGTGACTAACAAAGATATTAGTAACAGTCCTGTTTCCAAGTTAAACTGTTTAGCTTTTTTATGACTGTTCCAAGAAGTCTCAGCCCACCTCTTCTTCATCAGTTCCCCAGGACACCCACACTCACTAGAGGCTTCCACTACCACACAGCGCGTTGTTTTACCACTGAATACAGCTGGGGACAAGAGTGATGAACAGCAATCTTGGCAGAATAAGCCCCCTAAAGCAGATCCCCTCCTCTACTAGTGATTTTTGACCTCCTCCTTGCCCGAAAGGAAAGTGTATAAACCTCTCATTCTAGTCAGTGGAGTATCGAAACAGTGATTCAGAAACCTACCAAAGAGTGGAACACAGAAGCGGGTGGGAAGAACAGTGAGTGATCACCATACGGAATTATATGTCTCTGCTGGCTAGGGAAGACATCTAGACCTTTACAGCACTTAATTAAATCATCTATCTTCTAAGCAGTACTAGCAAAGTACAGGGAGATGAATCCTGCCCTAAGTTATTATACACCAACAGTGAAAAGCCTTTTAACAGAATTGTAACAAACATGTAACAAAATTACTCACTTGACTATCCCATATCCCAGGCTGACTATGATGACCAGAGTTCGAGCCAATGAGCGCTTCACTGCAGAAAGCAGTTCTGCCAGTATTACAGCTCCTTGAACTACCAAAAGCAAAGAAGAGGAAGCTGGGTCACTATAATATAACTTCTGTTTTATTAACCACTGCACACAATTGTACTATAAGAGCAGACAAAATTCTTCTCAGAAAGTAGGCTACTGAAGTGTATAATCTGCTTGTAATCTACATCTGAAGTAAGTGTTCAGAAAAGACAGGTCACTTGACATTAAAAAAAAAATATTGAAAAATTTTACATCCATATTGAGTGGAGAGTAAATGATCCAAGAAACGTTTATCCATAAGATCAGCCTGGATGACCTTCCGAGGAAGTCAACCAACACAATCTTCTGTAGCATGGGTGTAGCCAGTTAACAAAGTCATGACGAAGTTTTACTTGCAGAGTTTCATTTATGTGCATCCACCCTAAAAACTCAAAACCAGAGTCCCAAAGTTTTATGAAGAGAGAATAATGTAAAATGGATCATCAGGTTATGGGTTGAATACCAAAAATCTGCAATGCTGTCACACTGAACAAAGAGTTTCAAAGCCTCTTTCCAAGGCCAACACCCATTGTCAAAAATTCATTACAAACTACACTTCGGAAGTGCTCTTTTAGACTTCAAGCCAGCACTACAGCAAATACTCTTCAGAATCTAAGCATTTTACAACCCTAAGACCCTACACTTGCGAACCAGAGAAAGCAACAGCTTTCTAGTTTCAGAAGAACACAGATAATCATGTTTACAATATATTAAAAAAAAATTAAATATCCTGAAACTCTGGTTCCATTTCTCTATTTGAAACAACCCTTGAGTAATCATCTACTTAATATGCATGTCATCCCAGTTTAGTGTAAGCCATTAATTAGCACTATGCCCCACCAATTAAATTGCAAGCTGCAATTGCTACCTACCTGATTCCCCCGTGTAGCGGATATTCTGGAACTCTGCATAGAAAACTGCTTTTTCGAGCATTCCCAGGAAGATGACAGCACCAATCCAGAACTGGATCCTCAGGAGATCTCGCCAGTAACAGGCTGACCACGCAAGCCACAGGACGCCGAAGAACACGTACACAATACACATCACCATGAAAAACTATTACACAAAAGAAATAGGAATCTTAGACCCAGAAGAAACATTTGCTTGCCTCCATTCCACAGCTATAAGGGAGGTCTATTTTCTCCCCAAGCACAGCAACTTTTGAAGTTTTTAGATACCGAAGTGACCAAAAACAAGCACTGCTTCATTTGCCTTCTCTGGATTCTTTTCCAGTGACACTCTAATTTCTCGCTGCCAATGACGAGAATCGGAGTAATTGAAGTTCTAAGCAATTTGTCTCTCGAAGAGCAGTCTGCCAATTTATTCACAGGCAATTCTTTTTCATTAAAAGACAGCTACTAGCTCTCAGAAACAGAGATAAGAGCTCAGGCAAATCATCAAGTACTAGAAACTCTGCCCCTTCTCACATATTTTTCTACTGCTAACTTCACTGTACATTTACAGTACCCTGCAAATAAAGTTACAAGTCACCTTTACAAATCATTCCACAGAACACAGATGGTTGCAACCTCTCTGTTCAAATAATTTGACAATTTCTCTCAAAGCTTAATTTCCAGCAAACTCAGTTTCTGACCAAGCTTTAGGTCAGCCAAAAAAAATGGAATTGAAAAAGAAATCCAGATATTCATTTAAATATTATCATTAAATATTATCATGACACCACCATATCAGAGCAAGTGAAGTTTTCAAAAAGGACTCTGAGATTAAGAAGAGGGATAAGAAGGAGAGAGTAAGATGAATAGCAGGCAGCACTTAGCCAAAGTAGAGTACAGTAATAACCAACCAGTCTCCCCTTGCAGAAGCTAATTTTTAAAAAACTTAAGGCAAGCACTGAAGTTAGATGCACAATCTACTGAAACTTTCAAGAACTGAAAATATGTCTCTTAGGAGAACCACTTAGAGACCTTACTTATTACTGATCCCCAGCTAAAGTCTCTCTGACCTACTTTAATATTTAAGCTCTCCTCATCAGAGGCAAGCAGCAACCAAGTCAACAACTCCTTTGAGTAAAAATGGGATTAACTCTTTGTAGTTCAGTTATGCTTTCACTGTTAGGCCGTATTAAGGGCCTCCTCCTGGGGTGTAAGACAGCTGGTGGAGGAAGAAAGATTAAGCTGTAAAAGAACAAAGAAAGTACCGACAAATGAAAGGGTAGCTGTGGACAAAAGGATAGAAAAGCAAACTTTCTAAGATATGAGCTAAATAGAAAACCAATGTCAGTAAGACTCTCAGTTAAGAGCTAATGCTACTGATAACTTCTGGAAATACAGATTGACAGGCATCAAGTCAAACAATCCAGAGAATGAGAACACTAGTGGCATATGTGAACATCTGAAAACTATGTCTATTTCCCCTACCCTGTATTGAATACAAAAGTAACTAAAATCCAGAACACCATCGATCTACCAAACCAAAACCACCCTCTGCTAAATTACTTTTACTGAGACACTGGCTTTGAGTTTCCTCAAGTGTGGAAGGAAAGTATTCAATCGAGATTCAAATCAACTGGCAACTTTATAGGTCAGAGAAAAGCTGTTTTACTTACAATCATCAGAGGATAGTCCGCAAGTGAGAGATACTCATACGGCCCCTTCAGTTCTACTGTCACTGTCAAAAGACAACCCAATAACTAAATTGAACAAGAATCAAAAGGAGGAAGCCAGGATAAAGTACTTAAATGATTTTTACTCAAGCATAAAAGAAATTCCAAATATTCACATAACTTTTAAATCTAACTTGCACTTTAATCAAAGAAAGCTAACATTCGCAGCTTAAAGTATGCAATTAAAATTACATGCTCCATTACCAAGTAACTCCTGGCAGTACTTAAAGTGATTTGTGCTAGAGATTCATGTGGAACAGCAAAGTCCAGAAATACACATAAGTTAACTTTTTTAAAAAGGATTTTCAAATTTCTCTAAAGTTTGGATAGGTTATCAATGCATTGTTAGATACACTAAAATTTCAAGATGAAAATTATAATCTTTGCATTCTACATGACTTGAGTTATTAAGATAACTCATCGTGTTGGTCTGGACATTTTTGAAACACAACACTAAGTCTCAAAATTGAACTGCCTGAGATTCTTCTTTCCTTCCATCATTAAACTGACAGACCAACAGTCTCAGGATTTCCAAAACACTTAGAACCACTTATTTTCTTACAATAACAATTGTAGTACGTGATAGTTAAATCTATGTGAGGTGAAAGATAGAGTCTTATGAAACTGAACTATACAGCATATATTAAAAGTACCTTAAAACACACTCAGACTGGTATACATAAAAAACGGCCACATATTTTTAGCTTACTCTATAAAGAGCTATCTTACTTGTAAAAGGCTTATTTTGATACGAGGAAGGTGTTGTTCTCTCCATTCTTTTAACTTTGGTAGTAGAATCCTTAGAATCCTTTGCAGTTGTAACTCCAATTTGCACAATAAATATATATGGCCCATCTCGCCAAGTTTTGATAACAGCATTCATTGCCTGAAAAGAAAATATCTATAAGTAGATAGTGCATAGTCAAGAAAACATGAAAAAGACAGAAGGAGACTCACTATACACAGATGGTATCTTCCAAGTAAAAATAAAGTTAATCTCTTCCCAGTACTAAAAGTTGTTAATAAATACTTCATATGTGATTTCTATATCTATTAATTAGACCTAATACTTAAAATACAGTAGTTTGAATCCAGGAGAATCCTGAAAGACTTGGTGGGTGATCAGGACTTCTTTGTTTACCCAATACTGGTTTACTGCATGGGTCATCTCAAAGGTACCACAAAAGCTACAAAGAATTCAAAGCATTCTATTCCTTGTTTTCAGTCTAGAAACGTTAGGACTGCCAGAGAAATACTTCCTCCCAAAATCCACTGTTTGGCAACAGCAAGGCCACATATAGCTCAGCTCCCTGGAGGAGGCTGAATTTTACAGCGCAAGATAAAAGAGGTAGCTGAGAAGTAAAAAAATTCCATAGCAGTCATTTCCTGTGGAAACTACTACTGCTCCTGCGAGAGCTCTCGTACCTGTAAGACTCAAACCCTGCCAATGGACTAACAGAGGAAGCTTGCCCAGATAAATATTTGCACCATAAAACAGACCAGAGATTTGAGCTCCAACATACAAAACTGTTAATTCCACACTGAAGAAACTCCAGCCCTCTCATAAACTGCAACATTGACTAAGAGCTTTAAGGTTAAAACTATCTACACATATGCCACTCACGTGACCACTGCAGAACTACCACAAAGACTTTCTTTTTGTAACCACCTCTCCAAGATAATTTCACTATTAAGAGCGTGCATTTCTTTTAAGAAACCTGACTACAAGACCTAAAGACAACAGAATTTGTACATAAAAAAATAGATTTTCTGTGGATATTGGCTGGTACTGACTAAAATCAAGACTTAGTTAAAAACATGGTAAAAAGAAAAGGGATTTATTTTTTAGACACCAGTTTTCTCTTTTAAAATACCTTCATCTCTTCCTGCACTGATTCCTTATTTCACAGTTGCACATACAGCTATTTGTTTTAGCTTTAAGGCCTTGTAAGGCCACAGTTAAACACATTTCCTTCGTTGGAATCCAGGACATTCAATTTGAAGTTAATTTGACAATCATTCCTGGTTAAGACTTGCACATATCATACAATAAAAATACTAATAGACTTGAAAATCAAAAGTAATCACTCAACTTGTTAGGTACAATGTTTTAAAAGACTGACTAGTTAAAAATGAGAACAAATGTAACTTTTAATCACCACTTAAAAAAGATATCAATGATTAAATTACTATGAAAAAATAAATTAATTTTTAATTTATACTGTCAATTTGAATGGCATAAGTTCTGTATTTCACATGTAGAAGAAGCAGTTACTCTATTTTGTGTTTTTTCCACACAGCGCTACCTGGTTTCAAGCTAAAAAAAAAATTATAATCTAGGTGTCAAAAAAAATCCAGAAAACTGCACCATCCCTGTAAATGCTACTACTAATTTCTTATGCAAATTAATATAAATTAAAAAAAAACAAAAAAACCCAACAAGTTAGGACTGCTGCATTCCAAAGCACGCTTAAATACAATATACATACGGTTTTATCTGCCACCATTGTGTGATTTCCTCCACTCTCCTTCTTATCTTTTAAACCCTTACAGAAAAACAAAAAAATAGATAAATCATTATGCCAAAACTATCTCTTCATACCTACACTCATTCAGTAGAAGGAAAGAAAAAAAACCTACCTCTTGTTTCTCGGGTGAGAGAGGCTCTGGATGAACAAATTCTTTATAGAAAATCTGCAAGATACAAAAAAAGAACAGTATTTATAGGCACTTTATATTAACACGACATTACCAGAACAGCTTCCAGTAAACTTTATTATAAGGAAGGATTCTCTGAATAGCAATATTAGAGAGCTTTCATTTTTCTAAAGCAAACAACTTTCCATTTGTGGAAGAACTCTTGAATCCTGAGATTATCTTTTTTGCCATTTGAGAGTTGCTTTTCTCCCTTCAGATCACAGTTGTTTATTTTTAGAAGTGGACCCACAGACATGACAGTAATTAATTTCATTTTATTTTCCAAATATGAATCTGTTGCATATCTCCATTACTAGATGAGGTCTACACTACAAAAACAGAAACAGAAGTTGGAGATTTTTGCAAAAAAAATTCCCAGGATGAGTGGGTGCCTATTAGAGATGCGGATTTTGCCAGCTCTCTTGGGTGACTTGAAATCTAGTGAGTGATATACAAGAAAAACACTGAATAATCAAAAGAAGAAATTTCTGTGAAGCTTCAGAAATTAATACCTGAAAATATTATCTTTTGTTAAAATTTCAGTACAATTTTCACAGTAACTGGAAGAAAATCACTTAAAGACTTGTAAAAACCCAGTTTTGCCAACTTGAACATTCCATCATGATGCCCAAGTTCACATTACACAGCTAAACCCACAAGACCTCTTCTGTAAAACCAAGCAGAACTGACACTTATTATTAAACATAAAAAGCAGTCAGCATACAGATTATTTTTTAACAAATTTTTTCACACTACCTTTGCATCAAAGGAATTAGAGATGCAAATAAATTATTAAAATCCCTTTTCAAGTCACCTCTAAGCATGGCTTTTTTCTTAAAAAACAAAACAAAAACATCAATACAAAAACAACCCCCCACAACCAGGTTCAGTATTTGAGACACTTCCCAGCATTCTTTAACCACAGCCCTTTGTGCAAATTCGGAATGTGTGAATATGATGCCACACTGCACAATTTGCCTTGAATTCTTAAGAAAGTACACCATTAAACAAAAGTAGACTATTAAGGCCTGTTACATTGACATCAGCACGATCACACAGATGGTGCAGAGCCTATAGTTGCACATTACTCCCCCAACGTTGTTCTGTATTGTCAGAATTCCATCTTTCATTTGATTTGTTCCAAACATGTTTCAGTATTGCTTACTTTTTTCATTTTTCACCTGCTATCACTGCTTGTCACCCATTTCTCAACATTCTTTCATTTCCACTATTAGAAATTGATATTAATCTGAGCAAAAATAAATGCCAGTCCTTTATCAATCCAAATTTACCAGGAGCTTCTCTCTGCTGCCAGAGACCCACACCTACCGAACTAGGAACTAGAGCAGCCTTCTCTAAGTGAAACGTTCAGAACTCGGAACCACAAACAAAAAAGAAGCACTGAACTTCACGGTGGTTTGGTGTGTCCCTGCCCATGACGGGCCAGATGTTGGACAGCAAGCCAGATGTAAAGCAAAATTAAGAAATTATCATTGCAGTTTGGTCGTCATAAAGAGATCAAAACAACTACCTCTCAACCTACAGTGGTACTCACACAGGTTGCTCACACATCGAACGGGAATCACCACATTTCCGTATATTGCATGAGAGAACAGAGCAAATCGTAAAGTTTCTACCCATACCTGAGGCCTGAAGAGCTCAGAGCAATTTGGAAAGAGGAGCGAAGCCGTGGCGTAGTATCCTGACCAACCTGGATGCTGTTCAGATGTAGCCCCAAAATAGTACTCTGCCTGTTCCTCCTGCCAAACACAGAACATAACTTAGGGTAGCATCCAGTGTATCAAATGGTTTCTCCCAACACACAGCTGCAAGACCTGGAAAGCACCACAATTTCCCTCAGCACACAGTCTGGAACAGAACGTAATAGAATAAAGGCCAACAGGACCACACAAGGCTATAAAAACGAGAGCCAAAAAACAGGGGCCAGAAAAAAATCCCCATACAGGCTTTGAGTAAGAATTACAGAATTTAATTTAAAAAAAGAAATCCCAGTATTCCTACATTGTTGGTACAGCAGCCAGAATAAGCGTCAGTCTACACAAACCCTACATTACTATACTAAAGACAGTACTGCACGAGGTTAGTAGTTACAACTGTCATAACTAATGCTTTAAGTAAGTATGGAAAAGTTGTTACACCATAGAAACGACAGTTGTGTTCTACCACATTTGATTGACATGCTACACATATTGTATAAACTGCTAATACTTGAATGTGCATCCATAAAAAACAGAATTTAGACTAAACATTGAAATATTCAATTTTTCCATTTGTTGTGATTAAGCATTGTTGTAAATAATATTCTCATCTAACATAAACTTACACACTTCAGTCTAGAGTCAATGCACTTATTTAAGCTTTTGGGTTGATAAGAATTCTGACTAACATTTCCATCTTACTCCAAACCCAGAAAAGTCAGTAATACCAGCAAGCTGTGGATCAATTCCTTTCCATTCTGTTCCAAATGATCCAGAAATGTGTTAGCTTCGAATGGAGTGTTTCTTTTAAGCCCAAAGTGCAATGTGGTTGCAAGTGAGACACCTCCAATTCCCTCACCCTAAGATCTGCTTACCCTTAAAGTTTATAAACCCTGGTTTTCCATATAATTCTTACCCCAAAGTTGAAGACTTCATTGTAGCAGTCAGAATATCTTAAGTACCAAGTAACATTGTAAGTTTGGGAGGGATCACAAGCTTTTTCATCGCCTTCAACTAAAAAAAAGCAGCAGATAAGAAGATAAGACACTCACTACTTGCCATGCTTTTCCATTCTCTGCCAAGCTGCCACAATTAAACTTACTTTAAACACAAAACTGAAAGGTAAACAATAGGAAGGCATTTTCTTCAAGTAAGCCATTACTGTCTAGTTAAAAAAAAAAAAAGGCATGTGGAAAACAGAACTCCATTATAGTATTGCACAATTCTATTAAAGACTTGAAGATCATTTGAAAACTTTTTGTAGTTAAGACCATCAGGGATATTTCAGCAACTGCAAATACCAAACAGGAGGTGAACAGCAGTGACTCCCAGGGACTGTAATACATAAAAGGATTTCCCTTTCCAAGGTAGACTGAACACACAGCAGGTAGAGAGAGCCAGAACCAGGTTAATCCAAAGGGCAATTCACACAGATAATTTAAATATATCAATACCATCACCATGAAAACAAATAAAAAGGTAACATTTTGCAAGTTAACTTCTAACCTCCCACTCCCTAAATACAAATAAGCCATCTGTACATTAGCTCACTGTGACAAAGCTGCAATGGCAGCTAAAATAGCAATAAGACAACTTCCCGCTTTGATTTATTAGAGAACATGCAAGAAAAGTGAAACACAAGACTTCTTCCTCCCCCCACACTCAGGAAAGACTGTGGTTTTTGTGTTTCAAATCCCATTCTGAAACTAACGCCTGATGAAGGGAATTTGACATTAAGAAGGTAGGCTTCACCCGTGAAAAAAACGAGCAGTGATTATTCAGTCTTGAAAGAGCCCTTTAGATGATTATATTTGGGGTTTGCCAGTCAACAGATGGCAAAACTCAGGTTGACAGCATGTTTCTAGTGGCTAAGGAGTCCCCACACCCTTTTACATGCAACTTCATCTCAGACTAGACATCCACAAATCTGCTACACGCACAGAGCTTTTTAATGAATATTTCCATACTAATTACTGCACATAGAAAATGCAATTAGAAAAAGAGACCCTTCCATAGAGTCCTAACTGACTAACCACACTTTAAACCACATGACTACTAAGGAAAGTATACACACTGCTAAAAACTCAACAACTGAATCTCTAATATCAAAGATCAAAAAAAAAAGATTGGAATGTAATCCCTGAAAAAATACGCTTTCTTATGACACTTTCTGGTAAGCATGAAAACAAGGCACACATTTTTCACATCACCCTAGATGTTGCAGACGTCACAACAAAGAAACCAAAGGGCAACACAAGCACAGCAATGACATGGGTAGATGGCAAAATCCTGAAAAACAAAGGCTCTTCTGATGAAACTGATGAAATGAGAAACATGCCAAAAAAGTGCTAACAAAAAATAAGAGGGATTCAAAAATACCTATTACATATTTTTTATCCATTAAAAATATATAATATTATTGAAATGCTATGATCAGCAGCAACAACAACTAAAGGTAAAACAGGCCACAACTAGAACAATCCACCAACATCTGCAAACATCTGAATTACAGAAATCTTAAAAAGAGAGTAATCTAAAAGACCGAAAAGGCATCCATGGCATTTATTGAATTCAGCAACATGGAAATCTAAGCTCCTTTGCCTTCAAACAAAACCAGCAACATTCATCTCAAATGCAGTCTTTGTGTTCATTTACAGAGAGCCAGATTTCTACCATGATCCTCGACAGGAAACCATATGGCTTCTAAAATAGCACTTAAGAAAAATAGTAGATAAAATAAATTCATTATTGACAATACTAAACACCAGTGGCAGTATTCCCAATCAGAAGCAGAAAGAATCGGAAACCAATATACCACCAAAAAAAAAAAAAAGGAAAAAAAATATCAAGAAATGGAAAGAAAAAGGAAGAGGTAGAGCAGGAGTTGCAAGTGCTCACCAAATACATGAAAAACAAACGTGCAATCATGTTTGGCAAGAAGGGTCATACTGTTCACACAAGCATCACAGCAGATGGAAGAGGGAGACAAGTTTCCGCATAGGCAAGGGCACAAATGAAACAAAAGGTAAAGCTGAAGCTTCCCAAAATCGAATGCAGTTCAAGTATCATCTAGGCTGAGAAACCAAAATCAGGTTCCTAGTCTTTTTTCGTTCCTCTTTCAGTGATTCACTATCTAAAACAATATAAATCTTTTAACCTTCCTGGTATGTAAAAGGATCTCACTAAAGAAATTTAAGGCTTAATGGCTGTTTCGAGACTGACAGCACAGTTTGAAGTCCACATCAGGAGCCAGTGGATCGAATTCTTCCTTCTAGATCTACCACAAACCTGTCTTGCAGCAAATTTTATCTCCTCTTTGCCTTAGTTCCTTCCCTCTCTTGGTTATTTCAGCTGCACACCTCATGATTAGACTTGCCACATGGTTCACTGCAGGGACCCATATCTTAGATGTCACATTACTATGAGTACATCATTTCTATTTAACTTTAGACAAGAAAGCCTAACACCTGCCAAAACTCCAAATGCCCTATCAACCCCACCTCCTCTTCTCCAATCATAAAATTTCTACATTTTGATCCTGCAGCTGCACGCTTGCAATTGTCTCACTGCAAGACGCGAAACTCAGCACTTGAGCTACATCTGACAAGTGTGAAACCCTTAAACCTGACACAATAGATCGTCGCTAATAACCACTGCAGTACTCGCCTCACTGTCTCTAAAAGTGACTTGTACTTCCTTGTTTGACACAAGTGCAGAAGGGCATTCACAGGCACTTTACCCATATACCCACCCATGCAGCAGCTGGAGACCAAAGAGCTTACGAACTGGTGCAAACAACACCTTAAAGCGCACGGCAAAGATTTCAAGCCTTTCTAAACCAAGCACTCACTTTCACAAGTCCTTTAAACCATCCCGTTGCCAACTAAATGCTGTCCTCACGTTCACTGCTAAGTAAGTATTTTACAGAAAGTCTCCTTTGAATTGTAACATAACCCACAGACCTGGCCGGACCAACAAAGAGCAACGAACAGAGAGAACAGAAAGGCTGCAAACACTTTCTTTGCAGCACACACATATGTTGCAATCAGGAGGAGGAAACAGCTCTCAGGAGAGCTCTGCGTAGTGTGCAAACACATTCCCTTACCACTCCCAAGAGCACCCAGCGAGAAAGGAATAGGGCCTGGAAAAGCACTAGCTCCTGCACACTGACATCAGCCACCCTACAACACAAACAGCCCCTGTCCCCATGGGCACCAGATCTTGAAGCTGGAGGAATTTGGCTTATCTTAAATAGGGAAATCACACCTCACACTAAGACTCAGCACATCCCACACCTGATTACCTGCTATCTGAAATGAAACAGAGCTCCCACTGTCCATCTCGTCCTCCACAAAGAGGGTCTGAACAGAATCATGCATTTCTGCTACAGCCTAACCAGATCACAACCGGGAAGCTCCAATGCTTTTAACACACCCAACCACATTAGAGCTATCTATGGCTTTCATGCCGTGCAAGATTAGCTGCCACTTGCACTCCACAGTGTTTTCAGTCCCAAATGTTAAAGTAGAGGGGGTTGTCAAACAGCAGAGAGAGAAGGTTAATCCCTTGTAACCACTTACATCTCAGGAAAATGGTGGTGTTGCTGAAGAGAATCTTCCCAAAATTAAATTTCTTCCCCTGCAAAGGCACAAAAAAGGAAGAGATATTAGCAGCCTTAATGTCACTGAGCTTAAGTAAACAGAACCTTCTACTCTGGCTTTTAAGACAATACAGCAATAACAGCTAATGCCAAATCAGGAGTCTGCCTTACTGGATTTTCCAGTCACGCTTCACCACCCCTCTGACAGGCTCTTAAAGACGGCTCATGAGGCTCGGGGACTTTTTGTTCCGCAAAACTTAAATCGATTTCTCTGACATTTGTTGAGATGATTAGCATTTTTCTGCTGACAAGAAGGCATGGACTATCCAAATTAAAAAAAAAAAATAACGTTGTAAGAATCAGCAGCAGCAGCGGCGTCTGACATCCTTTAATTTTGTTCCTGAAGCCCCAGAGCCCCAGGGAGAGCGCACAGTCCTGCCTTCCACAGCCTCGCAGGGGCAGGCTGAAGGCGAGGCGGAACAGCTGCTCTCCACTCAACTTCAGACACGCAGGGTTTGAACACAAGCGCTGGAAATCCCTTCGAACCTCCCCAGAGGCACACGGATCTCTCTCTCTCGGTTCAAGGGACCGGTTTTCCCGACGTCACAGCGCGGCATGACGCGGGGGAGCCGGGAACCCTCTGGGACCCGCACA